ATCATGTTCCTTCTTCTGAGCAGCTTGCTGACATCTTGACAAAACCGCTTCCGCCGACTCCGTTCCATTATTTGTGTTCCAAGCTGCCCCTCGTATCCGTTGATCAGCTTGCGGGGGGATAATAGGAAGACTCCTAATATTATTTAGTTTCCTTATTCTTGTATTACCATAATTACTTTATTCCTTTCCTACTAGGAATGGGACTCTCTCTTGTAATCCCTATATATAGGAACATATCTCTCAATATTCAATAAGACAAATTATTATCAAATTGTATCACAGGCAAATAAGAACTTCTCCATTTGTTCAAAACCCTACCTCCAATACTAAAAGTTGACTCTGATGCAACAGTTGTTAATGGCACACTCAGAATATCCCTTGCTAAGTAAGATAGTTGTCCATATCGAGACTCATTCGTCTTCCAGAAGTCCAATATATCAAAATCTGTGATGTGTGACTCTTTAGGATCATTCAAGTAAGTCTCCAACTTTGTCTTTGTACTGCTTTCTGACAAAGCTTGTTCATTGTCATAATCCTTGGAAGAAAGAAGTAACATATAAATAAAATATAAAATGGTATTTCAAAAAATAGAAAAAAACAGAACACTATGTATATGGACATAAAATTAAAGTGGAGAGAGAAAAGAGAAAATGATAATTGTTAACAAACTGCAAGAAAATCATATCTGCCCTTTCGTTTTCTTGATGTGCTCAACGATGTGTGGCTTTGCGATGTTGGACGAGGACTAGAGGTTGTGCCAACATTTGACTCGTATTCAGCGAGAAGCTTCCCGAGATTAGACTGAATCTTATTCACTTTCGAAAGTGCTTCCTTTTCATCTTCAAGTAGTTTTTCATAACAATATTTGATATATGACATCTTACGGCGAGGATCAAGACCAACAGCAAATGCTAATAACATCGTGTAATCATTTTCATCCACATGATTCCAATACTTATCAAACTTTTCCCTCATAGTTTCTGCCATTACTTGTATATTGAAATCATTGCTCCGAATCAACTCCTTTATAAGCATTCCAATTTTCCATACATTCTCAAAATAGAAATTGGCAGTGGGATAATCACTACCCGAAAAAAGGTTGGTTATATCATAAAAAGGTTCCAAAACATCACGAATTTGTTCAACCATATCCCATTACTGAATCTCAGGACAACTCTTAAAGTTGACTTCACAAGCCATCATTTGGTTAAAGGCATTTCGGTATAAAAGAGCCCTGTCAAGCATCATATATGTGGAATTCCATCGAGTAGGAACATCTAACCATAGGGCCTTTGTAGCTGATATCCTAGCTCGTCTCACACAACTTTAGAAAGTAATTTTTCTAGCCTCTGACCACTTCACATACTTCACACAATCTCTAACCTTAGCAATACTACTTTGAATCACAGTAAGCCCATCTTTCACAATAAGATTCAACACATGTGCAGCACAACGAACATGAAAGAAAAGACCTCTATACAATAATAGCCCTTGTTCATTGAGTGTGACTTTCAAAAAGTTTTGCATCTTGTCATTGCTTGAAGCATTATCCAACGTGATAGAAAAAATTTTATTCTCAATTCCCCATTCATGAATTAAATTCAATACTTCACTGTATAAAACATGCCCAGTATGTGGTGGTTCTACATGTAGAAAGTTCAAAACCTTGCTATTTAATTTCCAATTAGAATCCACATAATGAGCAGTCAAACACAAATAACCCTCTGTTTGACAAGATGTCCACATATCAGATGTTAAGCAAATACGACCAGGCACATTTTGAAGAGTAGTTTTCAGATGGGCTTTTAAAGTCCCATGTAGTTTCAGAACATCAGACTTGGCAGTGTTTCTACAAATGGATTTGACTTGGTTGTTTAAATATGCATGGATCTTTCTATTCCCTTCATGTTCAACCCATGAAAATGCATACCCAAAGTCCCCAATGGAAAAACAACCAAAATCAAACGTGGGATATATGAATAAACAACCACTATACCGAAAATCAAAGAGGAAACTTTATAATCTAAACATTACACTTTATTAGTTATTACCCTAGTAAAACAGAGCTTAGAGTCGAAGCAGCTTGTCAACTTGGTCCTGGTGGAGATGGAGCCCTGCCCTGGTCGAGAATGGAGATTATGCGTATGGTGGATTGGTGGTGATCTTCAGAGATGAAAAGTGAAAACCCTAGATTTGGACGAAAAATATACACAGCTCAAACAAAACAGGACGGAAAATAGAAATTTTAGGGGGAAAAAAAAATTCCCGCGCCCATAGCTGAAATAATTTTCCCACGCCCATTGCTTTGTATGTCAAATAAGTAAATAACTTGTACTCCCTCCGTCCTTAATTAAACTTTCATTTTTGACTTTTTGAAGATTTAAGGGAGAGATATTTTTGTGTTGACTTTCTAAAAATACCCTTGATATGATGTGTAAAAGTAGGATGTGATAGCTAGATTATTAGTAAAAAGGTATGATGTGATAGGTAGGGTATGAAAAAGTAAGGGATAAAAGGGTTTTTTTAAGGAAAAAGAGAAGTTTATTTGGATATAAAGAAAAAACGAAAGAGAAAGTTTATTTAGGGACGGATGGAGTACTATGTATATTTTAATTCATTATAATACTACCTCCGTTCTTAAATATTTGTCCATTTTTTATTTTTTCAGTCAATATTTAACCTATAATTAAGTTAAATAGATAATATAATATTTTAAAAATATTCGATATAATAAATCTAATAAAACTCTTTTTTTATAAGTATCTAATATCATTTTTATTTTGTTTGAAGTCAAAATTTACTAATTTTGACCAAAAAAGTCAAAAGTAAACAAATACTCGGCGGCTGAGGAAGAATTATTTTTATATATAGTTATTCTAATATTTGAAACGCAAAATGAAATGGATAGTTTAATAGAAATTTAGGAAGTCGAAGTAAAATATTAACTACAAAGGTTGCGCCGAAAACTTTAAGAGCGAAAACTTTAGAAACAATTAGTCAATTATATAAGTGTTTATTTTTTATGTACGTCCGTCTTCAATAATACGGAGTAAAATAACTACGAAGTATGTCATAAATTAACTAGATTTGTTATGTGATATTATTCATTTATTAGTATGTGTTTACATTATATTTGAACTAATATAAATTTAAACCGATATAAACTCAAATCAATACAAAGCCGAACTGATACAAACCCAAACCGATACAAACCCGAACCGATACAAACCCGAACCGATACANTATAAGTATCTAATATCATTTTTATTTAGTTTGAAGTCAAAATTTACTAATTTTGACCAAAAAAGTCAAAAGTAAACAAATACTCGGCGGCTGAGGAAGAATTATTTTTATATATAGTTATTCTAATATTTGAAACGCAAAATGAAATGGATAGTTTAATAGAAATTTAGGAAGTCGAAGTAAAATATTAACTACAAAGGTTGCGCCGAAAACTTTAAGAGCGAAAACTTTAGAAACAATTAGTCAATTATATAAGTGTTTATTTTTTATGTACGTCCGTCTTCAATAATACGGAGTAAAATAACTACGAAGTATGTCATAAATTAACTAGATTTGTTATGTGATATTATTCATTTATTAGTATGTGTTTACATTATATTTGAACTAATATAAATTTAAACCGATATAAACTCAAATCAATACAAAGCCGAACTGATACAAACCCAAACCGATACAAACCCGAACCGATACAAACCCGAACCGATACAAACCCGAACCGATACAGACCCGAACCGATACAAACCCGAACCGAAACCGAAAACCGGTCAAACCGAAATAAACCCAGAACCGAACTGACCCGACCCGAACCGACTCGAACCGATTATAACATATATCCGAAAGAGACCCGAACCGAAAAGACCCGACCCGGCCGATTGACCCGATTGCCAGGTCTAAGCACAACTCTTGGATAAATGAAGGTGACCATTCAAAAAAAAGAATAAATAAATGTGGTGTGATAATTGAGCCCTTTTTTACAAGGGTTGTTAGCGTTGTTCTGTTCAACTTACTAATTCAGTTTATTACAGAGTATTTATTATTATAAAAAATAAATCAGATGAGACTAAATCATACATATTCAGATTAAATCAAATTAGGTGACATCACATCTCATTAGATCATATTAGACTAGCACCAATCGGATAAGATCTTTTTAGAATGAATTAATTAAGTCCAGAAATACTAATAATTTTTCTATAAATATATAGTAATTAGTATACAATTAATTTGTGTTACATTATTTAGTATTGCATATAAATTTAAAAATAATTAATATTATAATGTTATTTAAATTAAGTAATAATAATGTTACATATGACCAAATAATACGTTACAATTATTATTATTACTATTACTATTATTATTATTATTATTATTATTATTTAACTAACTATATTACTCTATCTGATACTAAATTATTGTCCTGTTTAGATTAATGTGCAAAACTATGCCTTTTTAAAATAATTCTATTTATGAAAATATTAGAAATAAAGAGTGCAATTTACATATTTAATTTTTTTTTGAAAAGTTCTACAAAATAAGTAGTGACATATGAATTTTATTTTTTTAAATAGTTAAAAAAAATACATATGCCAAAAAGATATTTGAGACCTATAATACTCCATCCGTCTCAAATTAAATTACATTTTTATTATTCACAGGGTCAAACTATAGTCACTTTCTTTCCTTACTTTCGTTAGCTATTTGATAAAATAATATAGTCATGTCACCACTAGTTTTATAAATTTTTTGATATAGTTTTTGAATATGTAATTTTTATTTTTTAATTCCATACCGTATTCATATAAAATGATTTTAAAATAACATCAGTCAAAAATCATACACCGAGTAGTATACATGATGATATATTAAAGGTGAAAGCAACAATAAATTCAATACTTTATAATAATAGTTTCTATCCTATAAAACAATACTTATTTTGTCATCACAAAAATTTTAAGAAGTATTGAAATGATAAGAAATAAAAAGTAAGTGGTTATATTATTTTTAAATGGGGTGAAATATGTATATAATTCTGAAAAGGAGAAAAAGGAGAAAGATATATAAAGAGTGATCTTCTTTTAGACATTTATAAATAGAATATTACATTGGCACGATTTCTAACACGAGTATTACGATATCTACTCTTTTTTTTTGTTTCATATAAGATATAATACATAAGTCTATAATAATAATAATAATAATAATAATAATAATAATAATAATAATAGTTTTAATAATAAAAATAGTAATAATAATAATAGTTTTATTAATAACAATAGTAATAATAATGTTAGCAATAAAAAATTATTATAATTATTTTAACTTTTATTTGGATAAAATCAGATTCATTCATATTTGTTGATTTAGGAATTCACTGTTAATGAATAATTGTGTACATGGATGTTTATATAGGTGATGATCCCTACATGGACTAGGATTCACCAAATATGTAAACTAACATAAATAACAATTCTACTATAACTAGACTTCTTTCCATATATGTCTAACATCCCCTCTCAAGCTGAACGCCGTGAAATGAGAGGAAGCTTGGAAGCCAATGCAGTGTAGCGTGGTGAGGCAAGGGGCTTTGTGAGAAGGTCTGCCAGCTGCTCATTGGAAGGAACGTACGAGAATGTCATTTTTTCTGCAATTACTTGTTCTTGTACAAAGTGACAATCAGTTCCGACATGTTTCATGCGCTTATGGAAGACCGAATTCTTGGTCAGGCAGATGGTGGACTGATTGTCACATAGAAGATGCGGAGGAGGGAGCTCGATCTGCAAAATGTCAAACAAGTAAGTGAGCCACATCACCTCAGCTGCTGCGGCTGAGAGGGCTCTGTACTCGGCTTCGGTGGATGAGTGTGAGACACGACTCTGTTTCTCCGTACTCCAAGAGAGTAAATTAGGGCCAAAATATATCAAGTAACCTGTAATGGACCGTCCATCTGTCATATCGTTAGCCCAATCAGAATCAGAGTATGCATGGATGGTTTGTGGGCCACACTGGAAGATCAAGCCATGATCAATAGTTCCTTTGATATATCGTAGGATACGTTTTAAGGACTGAAAATCCTGCTCAGTTGGTGCATGCATCCTTTGACAAACATAATTTATAGAAAACTGAATGCCCGGACGAGTATTTTTCACATATTGGAGAGAGCTAACTAAACTTCGAAAAAAGGTAGGATTTTCGAACGGACGACTCACCCCCTCCTTGGGCTGCCGTACGGGTAGGGGGGTGGGGGCCGGTTTGCAATCTTCGACTCCTGCTTTGTGGAGAAGTTCACGGGCATATTTTTCCTGAGAAAGAAGTAGACAATCCTTTTTGTGTGTTACCTCAAGCCCAAGAAAGTAATGAAGGGGGCCAAGGTTCTTAATTTGAAATTCCCTTTGCATAGCTGTAATGAATGAAGAGATGAGAGCGGAGGCACTCCCTGTGACAATAATATCATCAACGTAGAGGAGAACAATGAGAACGCCAGAAGGAGAGTGCTTAACAAAGAAGCTCGTGTCATGCTCATTTTTCCCAAAGCCATAATCAACAAGAAACCCGGACAGACGCTGGTACCAAGCCCTCGGTTCCTGTTTCAGACCATAAAGAGATTTCTTTAGTTTGCACACATGATGAGGAAACTGCTGATTGACATATCCTGGGGGCTGCTTCATATATATTTAATCAGGAATGACGCCGTGAAGAAAGGCATTAGATACATCCAATTGATGAAGGGGCCAGTTTTGATTGACTGCCAGAGAAAGAACCACTCGAATGGTTTGCTGCTTGACCACAGGGCTAAAAGTCTTGGAGTAGTCCAAACCATATTCCTGTGTATAGCCCTTGGCCACAAGGCGGGCCTTGTACCTGGAAACAGAACCATCAGCATTAAGTTTTATTTTATAAATCCACTTACATCCAATAGGAACACGATCTGAAGGGGGCGGAACAAGATCCCATGTGTGCTGATCCATCAATGCTTTATACTCATCATCCATAGCTTGACACCAATAACTATTTTGGGAGGCATCTTTATAGGTAACATGCTCAGTGTTGGGCGGGGAAGAGGTATGGGTGGTAGAGTATAGTTTTGGTTTGAAGATGCCACTTCGTGCACGAGTGGTCATGGGGTGCCGGGTGGGTAGTGGAGGGGGAGAAGGAATTGGTGATGATTCGGGACTTGTCATTGTTGGGGTGAGGGTACCAAATTGGATAGGAGTGGGAGATGATTGGGGCTGGGTTGTGTTTCTGGCAGTGTCGGGGTTGGGGTTTTGCTTCGGCAGTGAGAGGGTGACAGNGTAGATGGGTTTGGGACAGTGGGGAGGGACGAGATGGGGTCGGGTGGGTCGGGTGGGGTATCCCTGTGAGCATGGGGCGTTGTACACGGTGACTCGACTGGAAAAAGAGGAAGGACACCAAGGAATGACGGAGATGTGGAGGAAGACTCTGGGGATGGAGAGACGGTGGAGTATGGAAATTGACTCTCGTGAAACTGAACATGACGAGAGATATATATCCGACCCGTGGTAAGATCAAAACATCAATACCCTTTTGATGAGGAATCGTACCCAAGGAAGATACAAGGTTTGGACCGTGGTTGGAATTTATTTGTGATTTCATGGCGTAGACACGGATAGGCTAAACACCCAAACACCCAGAGAAGATTGTAGTCTGGAGATTTTTGAAACAGAGACTCATAAGGGGATTTGTGATTAAGAGACCGTTTTGGCATGCGGTTGATTAGGAAATTAGCAGCAGCCAACGCCTCGACCCAAAATTTTGCTAGGAGATTTGCTGTGCAGAGAAGTGTGATAAGAGTTTCAATCAAGTGACGGTGCTTTCGTTCAGCGACACCATTTTGCTCAGGGGTGTAGGGACAAGATTTTTGATGGAGAATCCCCAAATTTTGTAACAACAACCCAAACTTTTTATTGACATATTCCCTCCCATTATCTGTTCGGAAAAGTTTAAGGTTTGCATTGAATTGAGTACGAACCATTGATTGAAAACTGAGAAAAGCATCAAAAGCATCAGATTTATTTTTAAGAGGGTACAACCAGAAAAACTTGGTATAATCATCAATGAAATTAATATAAAAGTGATATCCTCCAAAGGAGGGTACAGAAGTGGGTCCCCATACATCAGAGTGAATAAGTTCAAACGGGGCAGAAGTTTTAGTATCAGACACACGGAAGGGGAGTTTATGAGACTTGGCAATAGCGCAAGAATTACAATGATCAAGATTCTGAAATTTAAATCCTAATTGAGACAGTAATGACTTTGTGACTTGAGCTGAGGGATGACCAAGACGACAGTGCCATTCGTAAGGAGTGACTTTGACAGAGTTGACCACCAGAGACGAGGGAGACGCCGGAATGGAGTACAGACCACGCTCACAAGGGCCCTTGAAAAGAACTTGGTTGGTAAGATTCTCCCGAATAGTAAAATCCTTAGAGGTAAAAAGAAGAGAGCAGTTATTATCTTTAGTAAATTGATGGACGGAAAGAAGATGGGAATTAATGTGAGGGGAATGGAGGAGGTTGGTTAAGGTAAAAGTGTGGAGAGGGGTGGTGAGTGTACCTGAACCTGTATGGTCAATAGGGTAGGTGTTACCTCCTGCAGTGGTGATGGAATTGGTGCCATGATATGGTGCCAGAGTATGTAGCCGAGACAAATCAGGCGTGACATGAGTATTTGCTCCAGTGTCCAGATGCCAGTTCGAACTAGATCCAGTGCATTGGCTTGCATAAAACGCCTGCGGAGGACCAGTGTAGGATTCATCGTAGCGGTGCCAACAATTCCAGACCGCATGGCCGGGCTTCCCACAGAGTTGACACATGACAGACGCCCCTCGTCCGCCACCTCTGCCGCGTGGATCATCACGGCCCAGCAGCTGCCGGCCACCCCTGCTGCTAGGGTTACCGCCGCGGTACGGGCCTCCTCGCCCTCGTGACGGCCCACGGCCATGTCCAGCCCCTCGTCCGGAATTGGTGAAAAGGGCATTATGGATATCGACAGACGAGGTAGAGCCAGAGTCGCCGAGAAAAAATTTGTTCTCAAAGGACAGGTTCAATTCTTCAGAGAGAAGCCAGGAAGAGACCTGATTAAAAGTGACTGTGGCAATATTGGTGTGAATGTTTTGTTTGAGTGCGGCGTAGTCGGCCGTTAAACCACGAAGAACACACAAGATAATATCTTGTTCAGAGATATCTTCATGAGCCAATTTGAGAGATGACACAATGGTGAGAACAGTGTCCAAGTACGTTTGCATTGAATCGGTACCCTTAGTGACACCGTGCAGGCGCTCCTTCAGTTGAAAAATATGAGTGCGTGAAAGAGAATTGTACCGTTGTTCGAGATGATTCCAGATTGCAGCAGAGGTGGGAAGAGCATGAATATGAGTCTGAACCGTGGGTGAAACAATTGTAAGGAGACAGGCCCGAATATGAGCGTCAACAATAAGCCATGATTCATAGGCTGGATTGGATTTCATAACCGGGGGTGCATCCTTGCCCGGCGCTGTAGCCTTCTCAGCAAGAATAAGAGCCGGTGGAGAGGTTTCAGATCCATCAACATAACCGAGTAAGCGATGAGCAAAAATATTTGCATGAACGGTGGCAGACCAAGAGGGATAATTTGTGTCATCAAGCTTGACCGGAGTTAGAGATTGAAGATTCCGGACAAACAATTTCAGATCCGTAGGCAGGAAATTCATAGGATCAGGGGATAAAGCAGCCATGGTTGTTCACGGCTGGTGTTGTTGCGCTGGGAAGGAAGATCGGCAGAGCCGAAAAGGAAAAAAAATTTCCTTGTTTTTTTCGTGGTTAACGCATGGAAGGAGAAGGTAGAGACGGATCTCCGTGCTCCGATACCATGTTGATTTAAGAATTCAATGTTAATGAATAATTGTGTACATGGATGTTTATATAGGTGATGATCCCTACATGGACTAGGATTCACCAAATATGTAAACTAACATAAATAACAATTCTACTATAACTAGACTTTTTTCCATATATGTCTAACAATATTAGATCATACATAATCAGATCAGATTAGATCCAATTAGATTAGATTAGATCAGATTCAATCAGAACAAATGAAATCTAATCACATCAGATTAGAGTCAATCAGATTATAAAAAGCCAATCATATAAAGTAGTACTTTAAAACATGAAACATGATCAAATACGATCGGGTGAAGAGAATAAAGCCTTAGTCATAATATGACAGTACTTGAATTGGAGGACCTACGATAATCTATTTGTTTATAAATTTGAGGGTTCTTGAACTCTCTTATTCCCCGTTAAACTCCTCCACCCCGGCCTGACCCGAACTCACCCCACAATCCCTTCAATTTCATCCCGTAAATTAATCATAAAGCAAATTAAATTTAGCGGATGAAATTAAATGGGTCGGAGGTGAGTTTGGGTTGGGTCGGGATAAAGGTTTTACCAAGAGGATTAGGGATGAAGAAAATATCAAATTTACAAACATTGCATTATAAGTTCTTAAATTAGAACTGTTATCCTATTATGACATAGTAATCTCTTGTCAAAAGAAAGGAAATGATGACAATTTGAAATTAAATTATCATCTCATGGTCTCATACATTATAATTTAAAGTCAATAATATTAATAGAAATATATTAAACTACTAACATTCTTTTCAATGTTTTTAAAATTGAACTAACGTAGATCTGGACGAGATAGTGAGTTAAGGCTTGTCGATCAACTTGAGCCAACGACTTGATCGAGCATAATTAAAATAAAAATAAATATACTTCTATATTAATTATATATTTTTAGTAAATAAAGGTACTCCCTCCGTCCTATAATATTCTTCCCGTTTGTATTTACGAGGTTTGACCGGTTTTATTTTCAATTCAATTTGTTTGATTGTAGGTGTAAAACTAAAAAATAAAATATAGATATTTAAAATATACATCAAAAGTTATACAAAACAAGTGGTGACAAGACTATATTATTTTATCAAATACCTAATGAAAAAAGGTAAAGAAAGTGATTAAAGCTTGATCGTATGAAAAGTAACTGGGGGCGGAGAAGGTGCTGTTTCTTTAAAACCTTTCTTTGCAAGAATCCCACCGACTATTCCTTTAAAACCTTTTTTTGATTTGGGGGGCGGAGGAGGTGCTGTTTCTTCTGGTACAGTACCGTATAACCCCTGATATTTCTTAAACAAATTCTCAAAAAGAGTTATAGCATTATCTCTTTCATTTTTACAATCTATTAAATGGGTGTAGTAATAACTATTTTCATCCAAAAAACAAGTGTAGTAATAGTCAATTAGAATTTTAAAATTTTCAATCTTAAAGCGTGGATCACAAATAATACCTATTTTATAAATATCAGAAATGTACAAATAATAAGCACACCATTTATCTCTCATAGGACGGACATAAGGCAACAAATCTTCATCAGCCATACTTTCACGAAAACATGTTGCGATTGTAACGCACTCTTTAAAAAATGTATTTGTAGTTGGTTGGTAAACATGTGAAAAAGTAAGAGTTGCGTTATTAAAAACTTCTAAAACAGCATTCAATTTTTCAACAATAACAAATTCAAAAGGTGAAATGATTATACGAAGTTCATCCCTAAAAAATTCAGCAAGTTCCTCTTTATAGCTTAGAATCCGTGGATATCTTTGGAAAATTATACTTCTTCCAGAACCTAGAAATAAGACGAGCCCCCCAAATTTTTCTAATTCCTTCTTTAATATTCGTCAAACCCCCCTTATAGCATCTAGTCCCTTTTGAACACATAAATTTAAAACATGACAGGCACACCGTTGATGCGGAAATCTACACATAGTCATAGTAGGGGGGCAAATTTCTCTAAGTCTAGGAATAGCAGCAGTATTTTTAGTAGCATTATCAAAACCAAATGAAAACACTTTATCAGATAAGTTGTATTCCCGCAAAATACTCTGAAGCAATAGCAAAATATTTTCAGCAGTATGAGATTCATTGAAATCACGAAATGCAAGAACACATTTATGCATAATCCAATCACTATCTATCCAATGACAAGTAACACCCATATAAGACAAATTATGATAAGTTTCACCCCAAATATCAGAATAAATAGCAACACGAGAATTAAAATTGTGAAAAAAATTTGCCAAATTTATTTTTTCAATTTTATACTGGAGAATAATTTCTCGTTTAATTGTTTTTCTTGAAAAACCTCTTGCTTGAGGGTTTAATGCCTGTTGACAATAATCTATAAATCCAACTTTTTCCAAAAACATGTAAGGCAAATTTTCTTCACAAATCATTTCGGCCATTTTTTGCTTAATTTGCTCGTCGCTATAAGCAAAAAGGCCGCCCTTACCTCTGTTAGCAAACCGAGAAATTGAGAAATTTGGGTTTGCACGTCTTGTCGTCCTTTCTTTTTCGCCGCGTATTTGGCGTACTCCACGGGATGCCTCGACCTTAGGTGTTTTTTCGGACCGCCATAATCGTCGGAAACTCCCATTTTAATGACGGTCCCACAATACTTACAAATTCCATAAACTATGCCATCTTTTGTTTCTTTTTCAAAATGATAAACAAATAAATCTGATTTTAATTTTTTTTACCTTTGTCCGGACCTCGAGAGGTCTCGGGCTCACCTGCCTCCATGTCGACGTCGTTGCTGTGCAGTGTAGGCTCCTCGTCCCCATCCAGATTATCCAGTCCTGCTTCATCAACATCCGCTAATAGACTATCAAGAGTGGGGAGATTCGCGTCCCCTCTACCCGAATAAATCTGGTCGAATTCTTCATCTGTCACACCGTTCCCGATGAATTGATCGGGGATAGTAGGAAAGGAAGAGACGAAGTGTCTTCCTTGGGAACTGCGTGAGGTCGAACCGTCAGAGGTGGCTTTAGCTTTGCATTTCCTCAAACTTCGGTTCACGGCGCCCATATCCACATACCTTCTACCATATTCTCGACATTTTAATATATATATTTCTTGATATTAAAAAAATTAATATATTAAATTTTGAAAATTTAAATAGAATTCGAAATTTTATATATTAGATTTTCTAAAATTTCGAAAATAATAAATGTTTTAAAAAATATAATTTATTTAAAAAATTAAATATATATTTAAATTATTTAAAGAATATATTTAAAAATTAATAATATATTAATATTAAAATTTCGAAAATTTCAAAATTTTAATGTATAAAAAGTTTATATTATTATATGAATATTAAATGTATAAAAATTAAAAAGAGATAATAAGATTGAGAGATTGATAGATTGAGAGAATGAGAGATGGATTGAGAGATTGAGTGATTTTTTAGAAAAACAATGTGAGATTTTATAGTCCCCCCAGCCCTCCCCTCCCCCCCACCTCAACGGCTATTTAGCCGTTTGAGGTGTGCCCCCCCCCCCACAAATTTTTCTTTCTTTTTGCAGGTTGCAGTGTTCAAGCCGCAGGTCCCCCACCTCTGTCTTGTCTCTGACCGTTGGGAGCAAAAGCCAAAAACAAAAACAAAAAATTAACCTGGTATCGGAACTGGACCGGTACCGCCGGTGCCGGTACCAAAAAATGGGTACCAGAACCGGTGCCGAAGTGGACAGTATCGGTACCGGTTCCCGGAACCGGTGACATGTCGGCGACGGCGGTGACGGTGGCCGGTACCGGCGGTACCATTGCCGGTCACAGTACCGTACCGGTACCGTGTCCACCCCTAGGGAAGAACATTTTAGGACGGAGAGAGTATTTAAATTGTATTCTTTCTCTTCCCATTTAGGCAACGTTCATTTCAACTTATTTTTTCTGCTTATTACTTATTCTAAATAAAATCAGATTAGATCAGATCAGACCTGATCAGATTAGACCTGATCCGATCCGATCCGATCCGATTAGATCAGATCAGACCAAATCAGATTAGACCAGATTAGATCAGACCAGATATAAACAAAATTAATATTATTATTTTTATTATTATTACTATTACTATTATTACCATTATTATTAGTATAATTATTACTATTACCATTACTTTTAATATTATGATTATAATTATTATTACTATTCTTATAATAACTATTACTATTAATATTAAAAATATTATTATTGTTAGTATTATTATTATATTTATTATTTCTATTATTACTACTACTATTATTATTATTATTATTTCTATTATTATTATTATTAGCATTATTATTTTTACTATTACTTTTATTATTATTACTAGTACTTTTATTATTATTAGTATAACAATTATTATTATTATTATTATTACTACTACTATTATTATTACTACTAATTTTATTGTTGCTATTATTATTAGCATTATCATATTTACTAATATTACTATTTCTTTTACTATTATTGTTATCATTATTATTTCTATTATTATTATTTCAATAATTATTGTTATTACTGTTATTATTAGTATTATTGTTATTATTATTATTATTTCTATTATTATTATAACTATTTTTATAACTATTATAATAAAAATTTTAATTTTAATCAAATTCATATTATATCAGATGCAATCATATCAGATCAAATGAGATTCCATCAAATCAGATCAGATTACACCAGATTTAGTTTTCAATTTGATTGCTCATATACTCTTTCACACCTTTTATTTTTATTATAATTAGTCGATATTTCTATTTATAGATGAGAGTATTTTTTGGTATAAATTGTTCATTTTAATTTTAAGATAAAAAATATTTTTGTTTACTTTGAAATATTCTCAAAGTTCATAAAATATGTGTAGTGCACAAATAAGTTCTCCTTGTTATAAATAGTTGGAAGTTTTTTAAAAAGTAAAATTTGTTCCATTTAGGATCTAAACATATGTGTTTTCCCTACATAGGACTTGTATCTTTTTTTCCTTTTATAGGAGTGAATTTGGAATGCCCACCCTAAAATGCCCCTTTACCCACGCCACCCGATTTTTTATTAAAACATTTCTTTTTTATTTAGGATTCTATCATGTTTTTTAATGATAATTATTAAGAATTCACTCCGCATCATTTTAGTTAACCGTTACCCTATTTTTTCGCACCCACTTAAGTCCCATGACTACGTTCCTTCTCTCGTTTCAACCATACCCTCGGCCGCCTCTCGTCTCTTCCAGTCGTCTCTTCCCCTCTCCCCTCGCACGATGTTTTCTTCATTACTGGTTTCTCTATCGAAGTTTGCAGCGGTTTCACCCACACCTCTAAACATCCACCTTCTCCTCTAATTTGATGGCAAATGGGACGATAATGGTGTTTTCTCTTACACATATGCATATGAGATCGACATTCCGATTTAGGCCCCATATAAAGACTTATTGGATATGATTCGTAATACGCTTCCGTTTTCTTATGAAAATTCTGTTTTCAATATTTCGTATATGTCCAATTCATGTTCAAGTCATGTTGTGATTGACGATGATGTGAACCTTCATGCCTACCTTCGTTTGAAGAGCACCTATCCCTCTGTGCACGACTTCCCTTTGTGCGTTGAATTATGTCATTTTGTAGAAATGACTGTTTCTAATGGAGGGTCAACCTGTATTGAAGTTCCATATAGTTTACTTGGTTATCATTCTGAGTTAACTCAAATTCCCATGAAGAAAGTGGTTTAGATGGATCGATGCATGATGTTCTAGAAAATGAAACCATGCACACTCTTTATGAAAACAATATATCATCATGTTGTGCTTTATCTAAAGACTCTTTATTTGACGCATATCATGGAGAGGAGATTTCAACGCATAATGACCAGGCCATAATGGAGACTTGGTTTGCTGTAATTCTCTTGACTCCAACCCGTCCGCTTATGTGATGTCCCAGCATGATATTGACTCATTGAAAGAGATGCACATTACTTCTCGGTTCGATCCAACTAGGATAGTCTTCGATTCCATATATGCTAGAAAAATTGACCTTGATTTTCATTTAAAAATGCTAGCAATTTCCAACTGTTTCGAGTACCGGACCAGAACATCAAAAAAAAACTGAGCTCCATGTTGTGTGTGTGGACTTCCCTCGTTGCAAATGGGCTATTCGGGCTGTGCGTTTACCAGGCGTTGAGATGTTCCAGATTTGTAGTTGCGTATTACTTTTCTTTGAACATATAGTGAATTTTTTTCTATTTCTGTGTTTTGGCTCGTTAATGCCCATGTCATTTTCTCATGGTCTTTTTCCAATGTCATGATACTCTTTTCTATTTCCCTACTGTACGCTTTGTAATTATTGCTACTCTACTGGTCATTATATTTCTTATCTTATAGTCTCTAATTAATGCAGTGTTTTAAGTATCAAAAAAAGACCTTTTGGTCATTCAATAAACCAAACTAAAGTCTTTACAAAAGACATAATAGGGAATTAAGTGTAATCAAACTGAATACAGACCATCATTTAGAAATGATCTGTAACTTTAAATGTCCTTTTTCGTTATGCAGCAATTTACTCAGTCATTTAACGTCCAATACATGGACATTATAGTATTTTAATCATCCATCCTAAGTTCTTTACAGTCTATCAATGGGGGACTACATCTAAATTCCAAAATGTCTTAAAAACATAGTTTTTTCCACACCGTATTAATTGTGTCACTAATGTCTTACAGGTACAATCATGAACACCAATATCCTATTGATGTTCGCCAAGGCAAAACACGTCTGGTTGCTTATCACATTGTTGCAAAGCTAGTTAAACACAACTTCTGTGACGCAACGATGAAGCCGTACCCCAAATTCAATTGTTACCAACATGCGGAGGGAACATGGGATTGCAATGGCTTATAAGAACACATGGTTTGTTAAAAAGAGGGCATTGAAAATTTGCATTGGAACAGTAGAGGAATCATATGCTACTTTGCCATCAATGTGTTTTATGCTCCATCAGGCTAATTTTGGTTCTTTGATCCAACTCACCACGACCCCGGATCAATAGTTCAAGTATCTTTTTCTCTCTCTCGCACCTTGGAGAGAATGGTGGTCCCACTGTGTTTCTGTCCTAATTATTGATGGGTCATTTATGAAATCATATTACAAGGGAACACTTTTAACTGCAGTTGCACGTGATGGGAATAATCAGATTTTTCCACTAGCATTTGACGTATGTGATGTAGAGAACGATGCGAATTGGCATTGGTTTCTCTCAAGAGTAAAGCAAGCTCTTAAACACCGTCCAATGGAGTATATTGTCTTGGAAAGGCATGATGGAATTATCAAGGCTGTGAAATCTGGCCATTGCATATTCCACATACTCGGATATATCAAGACTAATTTCAATGACTCCGAGAAGTCTTTATCCTAGAAATTTTATGGTGCTGCAAGGTTAGATTCTTGAGGTATCTGGGCAGCGATGACCCCAGGATCATTGGATACCTCAAAGCAATCATGAAAGAAAAGTGGGCAAGATCGTGCTCGAATAACCATTTTTCTATAATGACTTCTAACCTTGTTGAGTCTATGAACAATGTTGACGCTGTCCCACGGGAATATCCAATTTCACAACTTGTTGATTTTCTAGTGGGAAGGATGCAAGTTTGGTTCAATAAGCGTAGAGAATTGGCCAATTCAACGTCATCTATCTTGAGAAAGTTCAACGAGGCGAAACTTAAGGAACTACATGCGGTTTCAACTATTATGGAAGTAATAAGTAATTTTAAACTAATTTTCATATGCACTTCTATCCCGATCATCATTAAATATTTATAACACTCATCATCCCCCAGTCATTATTAATACCAACGTCCTGGAATTACATAATTTTCTGGTCATTTTTCAAAATTAGTTCTGGTCATTATACTATTCATTTCATTGCCAAAAACTACCTAACACGTAATGCCTGAATGCATTACTTATCATTATACATTATAACCATACTCCATAAGCTTGCTCATTATACGATTTCATACGCACTTCTAGTCCCGGTAATTATTAAATCTTTATAATGCTCAGTATCTCCCAGTCATTATCTAATACAACGTCCTGGATTTAGATACGTTTATGGGCAGTTTTCAAAAGCTGTTCTGATCACTATACTCTTTATTTCACTACCAAAAACTACCTAAAATGTAATGTCTAAATGCATTACTAGTCATTATATGTAATAACCATACCCCGTAGGTCATTGCGTGTGATACACACGATCAGACAACTTGAATCAATCTTATCATGTGATCTTTTCATATACAACTGCTAAAGCCAAATACCGTAATCATTTTTTATCATGACACACATGCCATAGGGTCTATATTATCCTCATTCGTCTATTTTTAATACAAAGCCTAAACTAATTTCTTAGTGATTAAGAACCAAACCTGATGTCGGTTAAATTTTGCAAGTTAGGCCAGCTTGTGCCTTTGAGTTCTTGGTCTTTGACAAGAACGGCCGATCGTTCGTTGTGAATTTTCAGAATAGGACATATACCTGCTGCTTATTCCAATTTGACCATTTTGTATGTGTTCATGCAGTCGCTGCTTCTCGTTGTCCACACGGATTGTTGTGCTATGACTACATCTCATCATTTTACACCACTGCTTCCTGAAGAGCTACATATTGTGGGATCATACACCCAATTCCTTCTAAAGATTCTTGGGTTTTACCTGATGAGGTCGCTCAAACTTTTTGCCTCCCACCATTTTGCTCTAAACGACCACCAGGAAGACCAAAGAAGTGAAGGATCCCGTCGAAAGGTGAACATGCGAAGCGACAAACATGCTCAGGATGCAAATCATCAGGACATAATAGGAAGACATGTGCTAATCCCATTGTTTTAAATCGTGCTTGACTTTCTTTCAATCATTTTTTTCATTTTTCTTGCATAACACAAATTCATTTCATTCTATCACTTAAGGAACGATGGTCTTTTATGGAATTAGTTTTGTCGCAATTCTTGTTTATTTCTTGTTATTTTAAACACGGAGGATTCATTATCCACACTTTTATTTTATATGCTATTTAATTTGTATTGGAAAAAATTTCATTTTTCCCTTGGTCGTTTCATGTACAATAATGACTAAAAGAGCCCAATTGAAAAATGACTACTCCAAAAATGACCAATGGTCGGCATTCTCCAAAAAAATGACTACTTGAAAAAAACCAATGGTATTAGTTACAAAGTACAAAACAATATACTCCTCCATTTTCAAAGTCATTATCTTATAGTTCAACTTACATAATTTCCTAACAAATACCTACTTTTGAAAGTACTACCTGCCTAGAGAAAAAATCTCACACCAATGAAACCTTATTCTTCCATTTTATGATCCCCTTAACATTATAATTAATGGGGTCTACATCTGTTTATCCAAAAAACCAATAGTACGACATGTCTTAATCTACGCACATCAACCAAACATGATTTTCTGATGAAAAGTACACCGAACTTAAGTAAATAACTTAAACAACAACTGCCAACACTTCAAGTCAAGCACCAGAAGTCATTCAGAAACATCCTAAAGACCTAACTCAATACCACCACAAAAAGGCTAATGTAACCAAATTTATCGATAATAGATGCATAATAGTCACTAAACCAAAGCTGAACGACGACAGCTTTCAACGGAAACTCAGTCCATAATTCCAACATTGCGAAATATGCCAACAACTCTGTGGTCATTTTCTTCCGGTATGCGGCAATTTTATGATCATCCATATCGCGCACATTATGGCCTATCATGAGAAATTCCACCATCTTCACTACGAACATCCCACACCTAGACCTGAGTCATGCCAAAACAGATTACGTGAGGTTAGTATAAACACACTATCTAAAACAGGAGAGAGCTTCGTGCATTAATATTCGTGACATACCCATCATTTTTTTGATGAAAGCATGATCCAGCTTCGATTGCAAGGACACCATCACCAATCGAACCTTCTTCCCGTCCTTCACACACTCCCAGCTTATCCATAAGCTTTGGTAGAAACATTTGGAGGCTTGGCAAAAACAGCTACAGTTTCCGTTTTGAATAGCTTCTCCTCAGGCTTGATTCATACGTTCTTAGGGTCCATTCCGTAGGACTTATTTTTTCTACTTATTACTTATTCTTATTAAAATCAGATCAGATCAGACCAGACCTAATCAGATCATATCAGATCCAATCAGATCAGATCAGATTTAATCAGATCAAATCAGATTCAATCAGATCAGACTCAATAAGATCAGATCAGATCCAATCAGATCAGACCAGATCCAATCAGATCAGATCAGATTCAATCAGATCAGACCCGATCCAATAAGATCAGATCAGACCAGATCAAATCCAATAATATCAAATCAAGAAAAAATATAAAAAATAATATTTATTAAATCACATTAATTTATTTAAAACTACAAACACCTAAATCTTAATTAATATTATAATTTTAATTATTATTTTTGTTATATTATTATTATTATTATTGTTGTTGTTTTAATTACTATTATTATTATTATTATTATTATTATTATTATTATTATTATATTTCAACTACAAACCATTAATTTTAATAATTTATTAGATTGTAGGATAGAAATGATTCATGGAATCAATGTTAAAGCTTAAAAAGTTGTATTTTTCATATTTTAAAAAGAGTTATTTTAAAATACTTGTTTATAAAATAATTATACAAAACTTAGTTTTCAAAACCATAAATATTTTATACGGAGTACTTAAAAAGACTTACTTTTAAACTTTAAGATGGTATAATATACATAAGGGTGAGTTTAGGACAAAATTGATAGAGGTGAAAGGGATATTAGTGTTTAAAATTTTATATGATCTTTAATTTGTAGCATGAAATATATTATTATGTAATATGCATATAGAATGTTTTTTGTAGAATACCATCAATATTTTCTAATATTTGGTTATTTTAATATGGATTATTTAGTTTTCACAAAAATTTAAAAAGTTGTGATATTCAAAATATGTTTAATATTTTTAATAAAAGTTTGAACATATCAATGATTAGTTGATTTTCTTATTTTACTTTTTTTATGTATATAAGAATTTTAATACTTTAAAACTATTAAATTTTGTAATAATTTTAATTTAAATCAAATTTAAATTCATTTACACCAAATCTAATTAGATAAAATCATATCCAATCAGATCAAATCAGATCTAATCAGATCAGATCCAATCAGATCAGATCAGACCCAATCAGATCAGATCAGATCAGATTCAATCAGATCAGGACTTCAAAAATTCAGATCATATTCAATCAGATCAGGCTTACGGAACAGAGCCTTATTACCTTCTGATTAATGTCCATCACCAGCAATGTCTAATGGCTCCCCGTATTCAGTGGCATGTATACGAAATCTGCATCCTGCCATGGATGACCGTATTCCATCTTGCCTCCAATGATCGTGCTCCTTATTGACTTATTCCGTGTAGCTTGCTCAATTGTTAGTTCTTTCTTCAAATACCTACCACATAAAGTCTTCAGTAATTCAAGGAACGGGGTGCCTGTCGTTGTGTACCTCTACGCTAACTGGAATTCTACTCCTTTAATCCTCAGGTAGTAGAATATGACATCAAGATGCTGCATTTTAAATTAAATTAGATTTTCACATGCATTCCAACACATCGTAGAGACTTTTGTATATAATTAATCAAATTAAGATTACCGTATCTGAAAGTTAAGCCACCCCCCAAGGGAAATAGATTTCATAGTGCCAGCTTTTCATTAATGTCTCTTTCTCAGCATAGTGAATCTTATACGCACTTGGTGCAAGAACATCTTCATTTAACCAGTACTTCCGCTCGGACAACTTTTTATTGTTCTTTAGAAGTGCTTTTTGTAGGAATTCATCCAGCTCCTTTGGCATCTCATTGGGGTTTAATGGAAATGGCCCCATGAATTCATCTCCATCTTCTCCAAACTCTATACCATGTGTTATCCCTATTCTCACCCTTTTCCTCTTACGCCTGACTATCAATTGATCAGGATTGAATCGCTGCGGACACTTTAAGTGTCTTTTCCTCTTTTCTTTAACTTCTTGTGGCATCTCAACCTTTATTGGTTCTTCATAAACCGGTGAAATATTCACAACTTGGGTATTCATATGCATATTCACTACAATTGGTCATTTACATAAGTAGAGGTACTACCTTAATCATACAGAACTACACAGTTATACAGATCATAAGACACGTTTACAGTACATGTCCATACACGTTAAAATTCGAGGAATTTACCTAAATAGGACTAAAACTTAATAACTTTCTCAATATAGGACCATACGTTTTTATTTTACAATGTAGAACCATTAGTCATTATCCATTAGTCATTATACAAGAAAATGTCCACCATGACTTAACATTATTCCTCCAACTAGACATTATTAAGTACAATTTATGAAATAAAAAACTTTAAGTCCTACATTAAGAAATAACTTATGTATTAGTCCTATTTAGTGTAAATTTCACTTAAAATATAAGGTAAATACAGACTTCACATACCACAATTTGTGTGCATGGTTCTTCAATGACCACTTCCTCATCATCTTCCGAGTCTTGAAATTCTTCATACACCTCTCTTACATTTTCGCAGAATCCTTTCTCCGGGGTAACATCCTGTGCCTAACATTCAACACGTACAATGTATTCATGACTTGGAAAAATAACAATCCCTATCAACAAACTAAATCACAGAAAAATGATCAAAATGCTAAACAAACATTAATCACCTGATGAACTCTTGTATTTTCCACATTCCCAACCAAATTCTCGTCTAAAGTGAAAAACATTTGAGACAACAGATAATCTTGCAATGCCTATATTTAGAACACACTATTCAAATTCAGACATATTTAAATTTCTGAAAATAAACATATGCATTTAATACAACATACACCTCCATAACTTGAGATGCTGTCTCAATCCTGTCATTGAACCCTCCAACCACTTCTCCAATAACCTTCAAAGACAATATTTAAAAAAACTTGATATCCTGATATAATTCTGTTAAAGACATGACTCCAAATAATCATATTATCTACTTACAGTTCTATTCACAGTTTCAGATGCTCCAGAAATGACACCATTACTTGTAGATGCACCTACGTCATCGCCAACATCCTTTCGGCGAACAGCATCAGACTCCTTTTCCTCTACCCTTGCATCAAGCAACACATTATCCATTGTCATTTCCGTCGACACATTCTTGGACTTACTACTCTCGGCGTCCTTTCCTGAATCCATCTTCAGCCCCAAACCTTCAATTGCCTTCAGTCATCGCCCTTCAACCTCTTGCGTGTTGATCTCATTCAAAGGATCTTCAACAACATTATCAGAAACACCAACTTGGGTCCCTATATCAGCATCCTTAATAATGTCCTCCTCCCAAACACTATCCTCTAGATCATTGTCCGGTTCATCTCTCCTCTCCTGACTCTCTATTCCCAGATCAAAACTCGGCATACCATTCTCTTTTGTTTTATCCTCTTTCTTTTTTGTTGCCGCTTAGGCATTCTGGTACCTAATAATAACCTCTTCAAAAGACGGCTTTGTGCATTCAGTGTTATTCTCAGATTAGTCACTTCCATATGCAGTTTCCTATTTCTCTTTTCCATATGCACTATTGCGGTAAGGACATCCCGCAATGAAGGTTCTTTCCTGCCTCCTTCCTCTCCAAAAACATCTTCCACTTCATTTACTGTCCTCTTCTCTATTCTCTTTACCCTTGTCCTTTTTTATTTACATGCCTTTTCTTCCCTTTTCCTTCTTCTATCTCCATATCAACAACACTTCCACTTATAGCCCCCAATGCAGCTTACCCTTTAAACACCTTCGCGCAGCCCCATACCCTTCATCAACACGTTCTTCACAACCATCTGTACTCTTACCATTGCTTGCACCTTCCACACTAAACAACGTTGAAATGTTCCCTGTGCCTCTGTCTTGGTGTTGCAACCATCTCTTTCCAGCTGACACTTTCCTATAGACAATAAAATAAAGTACGTCAGGTAGGGGTGGACACGGTACGGTTCCGGTTCCCGAACCGCCGGTTTCAATACTGCCACCCCTTGGTACCGGTACCGTGACCGGCTTGGGCGGTACCGGTTCCGGTACCTGGACCAGCGGTTCCGGTACCGGACCGGCCAGTTTCGGCCACCCCCAATATTATTTTTTTTATTTTTTTTTAAAATTTTTAAAGTGTAAAATTATAAATTTGCTTAAAGGAAAGAATGCAATAAAAAAATCTTAAAATGTAGTTGTTATTTAAATATTGTAAAATGAGTAACACAACTATATTTAATATCCTGATGGTTCAAAAAAAGCGACGAGGTAAAGAACCGTAAATAAACCCTCGAAGGAGCTTATATATCGCTCACGTAAAAAAAACTAATTACATATTTACATTATTACATATCTACATTAACATAAAAAAAGTTTGTAACTTATTCCTTAGAACTTGGACTTTCATCTGTGGTTGCATTCAAGTAATGCTCCGAATTGAATTCGTACCCTGACTCTTGAGCTCGACGTCTTGCCAAGAGCCAATCTTGGTTGCAAACAAGTGTTTCAAGAGATTCAGCGTTAAGACAACTTCGGTAGTCGATTAAAATGTTGCCACCATCACTGAATTCTCGTTTCACTACTACGGTTGATACCGAGACGGACAACACTTGTCTTGCTAGCATTCCGAGACATGGGAACATGTGTTCGTTCCGCTTCCACCATCCGAGGACGTCAAACTCCATGTCGTTGTCGTCGTCGTAATCGCATGGCACCCCTTGGTACATAGCAAGTTCGTTGTGTGAGCTTACTGTTGTACCACTTGAACTCGTCGACGGCTGAGCACGCTTCCCTTTCTTTGCAAGAAGCCCACCGACTATTCCTTTAAAACCTTTTTTTGATTTGGGGGGGCGGAGGAGGTTCTGTTTCTTCTGGTACATTACCGTATAACCCTTGATATTTCTTAAACAAATTCTCAAAAAGAGTTATAGCATTATCTCTTTCTTTTTCCCATTCTATTAAAAGGCTGTAGTAATAACTATTTTCATCTAAAAAACAACTGTAGTAATAGTCAATTAGAATTTTAAAATTGTCAATCTTAAAGCGTGGATCACAAATAATACCTATTTTATAAATATAAGGAATGTACAAATAATAAGCACACCATTTATCTTTCATAGGAGAGACATAAGGATACAAATCTTCATCAGCCAAACTTTCACAAAAACATGTTGCGATTGTAACGCACTCTTTAAAAAATGTATTTGTAGTTGGTTGGTAAACATGCAAAAAAGTAAAAGTTGCGTTATTAAAAACTTCTAATATGGCATTCAATTTTTCAACAATAACAAATTCAATAGGTGAAATCATTAAACGAAGTTCATCCCTAAAAAATTCAGCAAGTTCCTCTTTGTAGCTTAGAATCTGTGCTATCAACTTGTAAGTACTATTCCATCTAATGTTGATATCTTTGGCAAATGTTATTTGTCTTCTACCCTTAGACTTACAGAATGTCTTCCAGGACTTCGAAATAAGATGACTACCCCAAATTTTTCTAATTCCATCTTTAATATTCGTCAAACCCCCCCATAGCTTCTAATCCTTGTTGAACACATAAATTTAAAACATGACACGCACACCGTTGATGCAGAAATCTACCCATAGTCGTAGTAGGGGGCAAATTTATTTAAATCTATGAATAGCAGCAATATTATTAGTAGCATTATCAAAACCAAATGCAAACACTTTATCAACTAAGTTGTATTCCCGCAGAATACGTTGAAGCAATAGAAAAATATTTTCAGCAGTATGAGAATCATTGAAATCACAAAATGCAAGAACACGTTTATGCATAATCCAATCACTATCTATCCAATGACAAGTAACACCTATATAAGACAAATTATGATATGTTTCACCCCAAATATCAGAACAAATAGTAACACGAGAATTAAAATTGAGAAGAAAAAAATTCCAAATTTATTTTTTCAAGTTTATACTGTCGAATAATTTCTCGTTTAATTGTTTTTCTTGAAAAACCTCTTGCTTCAGGGTTTAATGCCTGTTGACAATAATCAATAAATCCAAGTTTTTCAGAAAACATGTATGGCAAATTTTCTTCACAAATCAATTTGGCCATTTTTTGCTTATTTTGCTCGTCGCTATAAGCAAAAAGGCCGCCCTTACCTTTGTTAGCAAACCGAGAATTTTGTGTTTGCACTTCTTGTCTTCCCTTCTTTTTCGCCGTGTATTTGGCGTACTCCATGGGATGCCTCGACCTTAGGTGTTTTTCCGGACCACCATAACCACCGGAAACTCCCATTTTAATGACGGTGGCACAATATTTACAAGTTACATAAACTATGCCATCTTTTGTATCTTTTTCAAAATGATAAACAAATAAATCTGGTTTTAATTTTTTTTTCCTTTGTCCGGACCTTGAGAGGTCTGGGGCCCACCTGCCTCCTCGTCGACGTCGTTGCTGTGCGGTGTAGGCTCCCCGTCCCCGTCCAGTCCTGCTTCATCAATATCTTCGAATAAACTATCAAGAGTGGGGATATTCGCGTCGCCTCTACCGGATATGTACTGGTTGAATTCTTGATACGTCAAAGCGTCGCCCATGAATTGATTGGGGATAGTAGGAAAGGAAGAGACGGAGTGTCTTTCTCGAGAACCGCGTGAGGTCGAATTGTCGGAGGTGGCTTTAGCTTTGCCTTTCCTCGAACTTCAGTTCACGGCGCCCATAGCCACGGACCTTTTACCGGACTCTCTCGACATTTTAATATATACTACCTCCGTCCCACTCTCTTTGTCCACTTTTGACTTTTGGAACTGTTCATCTAAGCACTTTGACTCATCAAATTCTCTCAATGTGTAAGCCTAAATATAGTCATGTGTGATCTTGTTTGATTTGTCTTAACATATAGATTATTAATATATAATTTCTATAATTTTTTAATATACAAATTACAAGATAAAATGGATTAAAGAAGTGCATTGGATGATGTGTAAAAATGAAAGTGAACAAAAACAGTGGGACGGAGGAAGTATGTTTTTTGATATTTAAAAAAATAATATATTAAATTTCGAAAATTTTAAAAAATTTCAAAATTTTATATATTAAAATTTCGAAAATTTTGAAAATTATAAACTTTTTAAAAAATAGAATATATTTAAAAAATTAATTATATATTTAAATTATTTAAAGAATATATTAAAAAAATTAATTATATATTAAATTTCAAAATCGAAATTATAATATTCGTAATAAACTAAAAATATATGATTATTGATAATATGAATAATGAATGTATTTATAGGTTATTATGTAATATATTAATATATATTTATATTATTATATGAATATAAATTGTATAAAAATTAAAAAGAGATAATAAGATTGAGAGATTGAGGAGAGCTTTCTCTCTCTACTTCTGCAATGGCGAAGAAGAAAGGAAGGCCTAAAGGATATCAGATCCGAACCCGCAGTCACGCTCGCCAAGCAAACAAAGGGATGAAGAACACTCGATTGAAGGAAATGTTGGAAACGGTGCATCATCTGGAAGTAATTCACCTGAGGAAAATCCATCTGGAAGTAATTCATCTGAGGACGACCAGTACAGAGAAATTGGAAGCAGAGAATCAAGAGGAGAATAAGATTACTGAAGCCAAAACGTATGCGGAGGTGGTAGGTGATCAGGATGCGATGCAGATGGGTCTAACGTTTGTTCAAGCAACAGAGATCAGTGGAACTAGGGTTGCAAAATTCTCAAAAGAGGACATTCTCGAACCATCCAGGTATTGGGATGCAGCTATGATTCTCTGTATACTTGGAGCTAATCCCCCCTTGGAAGTAGTCAAGGGCTTTGTATCTAGAATATGGAATATGTATCATATTGATGAGGTATCGGTGCTTAAGGAAGGACAATTCATAGTTATGTTTCAAAAGGAAGAGGATAGAGATGAAGTTATAAAAAGGAAATACTATTATTTTGATAACAAGCCAACCCTGGTTCAAAAATGGAGGCATGTTGATGTCACTGAGCTTAGGGACATACCTATTTGGGTGAAATTTCCTGATCTGGACATGCGCTACTGGAGTCTTACAGGGTTAAGCAAATTGGGGAGTTTGATTGGGAAGCCAGTAAGGAGAGATAAGGCTACTGTTGAACGTTCAAAACATGCTTATGCCAGGATACTGGTTGAAGTGGGAGTGTATCAGGAATTTCCACAACAGATCACATATGTTACTGAAGAGGAGAGAGTGTTGACACAGGATGTAGTGTATGAATGGTGTCCTTGTATGTGCTACCACTGCAAGAAAATAGGACATCTTCAGGAGAATTGTAGATGGAAGGAAAACAAAAAGAAGGAAGCTGGCCCAATGAAACAATACTGGAGAGTTAAAAAGGATGGGAAAGAACATCAACAAGAGGATATTCCAAAGAAAGATGACTGTGAACAAAGCAATGGAGAGCTGGAGGAAAAGGAGAAGAATATCCAAAATGACAATTTACAGAAAGATATTCCCCCAGGAAATATGGATGAGGGCTTTACAGAAGTATGTGGAAAAAAGGCTGCTAGAAAATTGGTGTTAGATGATAGCAAAGACTATGATGAAAAAGGATTGTATAAGGTATTCAGTGAAGGCCCTTATAAAGGGCACCTGCCCTCTCTTAAATGATTTGTTGCTGGAATGTGAGAGGGCTGAATAGTCCAAATAAACAAGGAGAAGTTATGAGGTGTGTTAAGAAATATAATGTATTTTTGTTTGGTATGTTTGAAACTAAAATTAGAAAAAATAAGTTTAAAGAAGTTGAACATAGACTGTTCAAGACCTGGGGTTCTTTTATTAATAATAATACTCACCACCTGGGGAGAATTTGGGTTGTTTGGAATAAAGGAAAGGTGGATGTACAGATTATGGGAGTAACTGATCAGATGGTAAGCTGTAGATGCAGAATCTTAGGGGATACTAAGCAATTCTTAATAAGCATTGTTTATGGGCACAATGATCCTACAAAAAGGAGGGATCTATGGAGTGATATTAGTAGTTTGGCTGGCCAGATTCATATTCCATGGTGTTTGATAGGAGACTTTAATAGCATCCTCAGCTGTGAGGATAGAAGAGGTGGCAACCCAGTCACCTTGGAGGAAATTAAGGACATTAAGGAATGTATACAGGACAATGGTTTGGAAGAATTACCTAGTGAAAGAGCAAGGTATACTTGGTCCAATAAACAGGGGCAAGGAAAGAGGATTTTCTCTAAACTGGACAGGGCCCTAACCAATGTTGAGTGGGTCCTACAGTTTAACTCCAAGGTGATAATAAAGGAGGAGGGACTGTCTGACCATTCACCTCTCTTTATCAATAACTGGAATCAAGAAAAGAGGCACACCTTTAGATTCTGTGACATGTGGACTATCAGTCCTAATTTCCCCAAAATTGTTAGTGAAGTGTGGGATAAGGAGAGGCAAGGGAGACCCATGTATATACTACTACAAAAACTTAAGGAACTTAAATGGAGACTTAAGAAGATGAATAAGGACAGGTTCACTGATATACATAATAGATCTGAGAGACTCAGGGGTGAGCTCTACAATATTCAAGAGGCAATTAAGAAAGATCATGATAGGGAGGAGCTGTTTGATAAGGAAAAAGAGCTGATCAAGGAACTTAATTGGAGCTTGAGGGCTGGATACTTGATGAAATGCCAACAAGCAAAACAGGATTAGATTCTGGAGGGGGATCAGAACTCTAGAATGTTCTTTGCCTGGGTAAGGAAAAGGCAAAACCAAAATGCCATCACAACCATTAAAAATCTAGAAGGAAAGACTGTGGAAGGCAAAGAGGTAGTAGCAGAAGCCATCCTACAATATTATCAGGGTTTGTTGGGATCTACACAATGGACAGATAACATCCAGGGGGATATAATTGATAAGGGAAAGGTGCTTAGTGTTGAACAACAACTAGAGCTAGCTGCCCCAATTAACCCAGTCTTGGTGAAGCAGTGTATGTTTGAAATACCCAACTGCAAAAGTCCTGGTCCTGGTCCTGATGGATTTACTAGTGGGTTCTTCAAACACCAATGGGATTTAGTAGGAGAAGATGTTACCCAGGCAGTTCTAGATTTCTTTCAAACAGGGGAAACCCTTAAGGAAATCAACAACACAAACATTACACTCATTCCCAAAACTGAAAGCCCTAGCACTCCTATGGACTACAGACCTATTTCTTGCTGCAATGTGGTTTACAAGATCATATCTAAAATCATATGCAGTAGACTTAGGAAGGTTCTGCCTACTATCATAGATACCAACCAGGGTGCTTTCATAGAAGGAAGAGACCTAGTACACAATGTCCTTATGTGTCAGGAATTGGCAAGAGGATATAAAAGGAAGGGGATATCACCCAGGTGCATGATGAAGCTGGACATTAAAAAGGCATATGATTCTGTAAGTTGGAAGGCAGTTCTGCAGATTATGGCAGCTTTGAAATTCCCTCCCATATTCATAAAGTGGATCAATTTCTATATTACCAGTACAGCTTATTCCATACAGTTGAATGGTGATCTATATGGTTTCTTCAAGGGAGGAAAAGGCCTAAGGCAAGGGGATCCTGTATCTCCACTTTTGTTTGTGATAATCATGGATTATCTTACTAGGGTTCTGCATTACTTTACTGACAATAGCTCCTTCACCTACCACCCAATGTGTAAAAGCTATAAACTTGTTAATCTGGTTTTTGCTGATGACTTAATTGTAGTGAGTAAAGCAAATGAAAAATCAGTGGACTGTATATTCAAAGCTCTGAAATATTTCTCTCTAACAACTGGTTTGCACATCAACCAAGCCAAGTCACAGATAGTAACTGGAGGAGTAAGGAAGGAAATTGAAACGAGGATATTGGAGCTCACTAATATCCCTAAGGGTGACTTTCCTTTCAGATACCTAGGTGGGCCCATAACAGTAGCCAGAATTGGACAGAGAGAGTGTGATGTGTTGGTGGAAAAGATCATTTGCAAGGTAAACTCATGGGCTACTAAACATTTATCTTATGTAGGTAGAGCTAGATTGATCAATTCTGTTCTGTATGGGGTTATCTTCTTCTAGACTGGAATCTTTATCATTCCCAATAAGGTGATGAAGAGGATCCAAGACATCTGTAGGAACTTCTTATAGAGTGCAACTGCTTCATATAAAAGAAGTCCTTTGATTAATTGGGAAGAGACTTGCCTGCCCAAAAACAAAGGCGGGATTGGATTGAAGAATCTGGTTAACTGGAATAAGGCCAATGTGATGAAGCTGTTATGGGATGTAGCTAATATGAAAGATATCTTGTGGGTCAGATGGGTCCATGGAAGATATTTGAAGCAAGAGACAGTGTGGCAGTACAACCCTAAAGGGAATGTTTGTTATTATTGGAGGAAAATGCTTAAAGTTAGAATTGACTTCACCAACATGCTTATGAATGGAGAGTACAACACTAGAGAGGGATATTCTTGGCTAATGGGAAACAAAGAGAGTGTAAAATGGGCTGATCTAGTTTGGAGCAACTGGTCTCTTCCCAAACACCAGATCATAATGTGGTTGATATGGAAGGGAAGAATACAAACTAAAGCTAGATTGAGCAAGTTTATGCAGATAGATACTACGTGCTGCCTCTGTGGTAACAGTGAGGAATGTATTGACTACTTATTCTGCACTTGTGAGTTCACTATGGAGATAATGCAGAAGGTTTCTCAATGGGCTGGAACTGACCTTACTGCTGGCAATATTAATGAGATGGAAGACAAAATTGTGAGGGGAAGCAACAGGAAGGAGAGGAAGAGAAGAGCAGCCTTGGTGGCAGCGTGCTTCTATATAATTTGGAAGGCCAGAAACAACATAGTCCATGGAAAGAAGAGATGGAATGCAGTAGATAGTGTTGAATATGTTAAATATCATGTTACTACTTATGTAAAGCCTAAGTATAAATTCTAAGATTAGGGGGCTGGCAGTGTTTAGAGGGTTGAGATCAGTATGTGTAATATTTGGTGGTTGATTAATATATGTGCTGTTTGTTCAAAAAAAAGATTGAGAGATTGAGATAATAAAAATTCATAGGCTCCCTACCTCTAATCGTCTGTATAGTCTTGAACACATGCTCAACTTTCAAACGAGTCACGCTCATTATCCCTCCAAAATACCGCAAGCTTATGTCATCTGGCTCATCGAAGTCAATACCTCCATAGTAAGTTTCCTTCCCGAATTTCAACCCCGTAATCAACGCAAAGTCTGTTTTCTTAATCTCCACTAGCCTCTCACCGATGTGAAATTTCAGTGTGTCTACTTCTCCGCTCCTCTTAATCGGTTCGACAGTTCCACATAATTCAACGCTAACAATATCATCAACTAACCAGTAAACCACTTTATTCCTTCAATTTTACCAGATCCGCAGCACTGACCACTTCTTCCACAATTTTTGCTCCCACCCATACATTACAAAAGCATGTGACCTTCACCCGAGACTTGCTAACCAATAGTTCTTCATTACACATCCTTTTGTAAACCTATGTTGTATTAACAAAACAGAAAGTAAAAAATTCTTCCCAAAATAACACCTCGTAGGGAAAAAAATACTTGTAACACATACACAATCACACAAAATTTGACGTACAATACCACAAATTAATGTCTTTCAATTCATGACACATTTCACTCCCAAGATTACTCAAATTTGCACTAAATAGGACTAAAAACATAAGTCATTTCCAAATGTATGTCTTAAACTTTTTCATTCACTAAGTAGTACTTCGTAATGTCTAGTGGACAGAATAATGTCCACTGATGGCGAACATTTATATAAATAATGACTTATCAATAAGGACCAATGTTCTTACATTGAAAAATAAAAAACATATGGTCATATATTCAGAAAGTCATTATGTTTTACCTTACAACAGGCCTGCCCACCGTCAATCGAACAATTTGGTTAACCTTTTCTTAAGATTAGTACTTAACAAATCACAAACCAGTCACCCATAGCCATTCACATAAAAACAAAATTCAGCAATAGGTCAACACATAATCAATCAAACCAGGTCTTACTGAACTCACTAGTAATTTGCGGTCTAAGATAAAGACCCAATTCTGAAACGTAATGCTATGTACTCAAATGTTGAATTAAGCACCACTAACACTTTAAAAAAATATCCAAATAAATACATATCAAATTACCTGAAAACAGAGATTCATACTGCAACAACCAATTTCTCCAAACAAAAAAAAAGAATCAAGAAAAAGGACCAAAGCAATTGATCCATCTCAGTGTCAACGTCATTAAATCAAACATCTCACATGCATCAGCCTATGCTTCCTCAAAAAGTTAGGCGCATTTCAAACAAAAAACAAACACATAATCAAAATGAATCACAAAAACTTACTCGCCCAGAGGTTGTCTTCACTAATTTCAAGGTCTTTAAAATGGGAATTTCATCCACAAAGTCATCTTCGTCATCTACTACGGCTCAGCTAGACATTCTCTTCGCAGTGGCGCTTCTGATCGACATCGTTTTTCTCAATGGTGCTCGGAGGCAAGGATCTTCTTTTCAATGAACCCTAGTTGAAATGGAAATAAAATTGGATCTACTATACTAAAGACCTTCATTCCGCATAAAGAAGCCTAGTTCTACATGGTAAGTCGTGCACCCTTTCACCGACCAAAATTGTGCCTTTTTCGCGATTCCCCGTACAACGACATTTTTTTATTATTAAAGACTAAGGTGTAGGGTATTTTTGTCCTTTGTCTTTGGCAAAAATTGAGAATATATTTTATTTCATCAAATTATTAATGAAAACACAGAAATAAACAAAAATTCATGCATTTTTTTATTAATAAAGTGTGTTATTTAGAGACGGAGAGAGTATAAGAATTGAGAATACGCTCTCACCGTTTGATCTGGGTGTTTCTTCCAACTTTTGCAGTTTCTTCTGATATTCAACTTTGGAATGTCAACCGAAACGAATAGGCCGTTAGTTGGGAAAGAAAATGAAGAAGAAAAAACAAAGATTTCGGGTATAACTCAATCAAATAATTTTGCTTTTGTTCAAACACATTTAATTATTAGTACGTTCTTTGTAATTACTACAACTATTACAAAGTTGAAATTATTCTAGGAAAAAAAAGAGCGAATTTAGCAAATCCAAGAAAGGCTTTCGAAATGGGTGCAGTGTGCGCACAAAATGGATATATCCTCAAAGAATGAAAGGATCCCACAAGTCTGCAACAACGAATATGTTCCATCTATCTGAGAAGTGATCTTGTCAGATGTTCTCGTGCCGTTGCCAATGCTTGAGATATTGTCTGGAAAAATTTTAGAATTATAAATGTTACATATACCAGAAAAATATGTACCGAGTAGAACTAAAGATGGGGTTATCCCAAACAACAAGAGTACAACAAGAACAACAAACCCTATGTAATATCAATAATGATGTCTTGGGAGGGTAAGATACAGAATAAATGCAGAGTAATGAATAACTAATTATTTTCAAGGTAAGGAATAAAATCTACACTAGCAAATCCAATATAATCCCAACACCGTTATGATACTGACAGGTTAGTCAAGAACATGTGATTCATTTGATCTAATAGAATGGAATCTTGCATTAATGTCAAACAGCGTGGTTAATATCTGCATTTCGCCGTGATTAATCCTTGCCTAGCCTTGAGTAAAAATATCTGAATTTAGCCAACCCTAGACCACTCTCCATGGGTTTTTCCTGCTTAGGCCTTACCTAATTCCACTTGTACCACAAATTAACCCCAATTGGGTGCTCGCTAGACTTGAGTATTAATTAGCATTGTTTTTAACAAAGCATGATTGGTTTGCAGTTTTGCACAGTAAACAAGTTAAACGTGTAGCTAGTTACCTGTTCAGAAAGGGATGTCCCATCATCCATATTGTGACTAGCAACTTTTAAAGCAATTACATTACCATCAGTCTCAAGAACCATCCTGCCAACCCAACAGGTTATAAGGTGAAAACCAAAATAAGGTAAGATAAAGATGAGTTATATCTATCCAAGGAGGTTTTTGGGGTGGGTTGGTGGGGAATTGGGCAATTTATGAAACCCATGCTTTATATGTGGAACAAATGGCAGCTCACCCTCCATCAACAATCTCATCAAGGCACAAAAGAATCAGATCTAAGTTCTCAAGTGCCTCCCTGTGTTCAACATTGTTCCTGAAACAAACAATGCCACACACCCAATCAGTCATTCAATCATCACCAAGTATATTTCTGCAGTTACTAGTCAAATACTACGGGTGAAGAATAATACCTAAGAAGAACAGTAACTGCATCAAAGAACCCTTGGAGAACACTCGCTAAAATCAGCTCATTTTCATCAACCGCTCCAGTCACAAAGAAATGGAGATCTTGAACAAACTTGTAGATGATAATGTTGTTATCAAGCAGCGTTATATCCGCTTGCAGATCAAAGAAACAATTAGTTCATTGAACGCATTATGTATGCAGTAGTTAGCATCCTTAAAAAAATACTGCTCCATAGTAAAACTCCCGGCCTAGGTCTCACCTAGATGGTAGACCTTCCCACCCTACGATTTATTCTCACCTAAGATTGCCTAGGCCTCAATTAGTCCCGCCTGGGGCAGTGCCTACATCTAGGGATAACGACGAGGAACAATGTGGTGCCCTTAATGGCATTGGGTAAGTCCGCCACTGCACATGGCCCCCAAAATTTTGTGGCCTCGAGAGAAGGTGGAATTCACTATTATGCAATCTATTTTTAGAGAATATTTATATGTTTTTCCTTTAAATGATCCATTTTTCTTTGAATTTGTGACTATCTGTATCATCTTTAAAAAAGTGTATTAGTTCCAAGAATTGAAATATTAATATTGTAAGGTTAACATCATAACGAACTAATATAAGTGCGCTAAACAAAATCCTTCTAACAGCTTCGAAGTAAACAATGTACTCCGTATTACTACGGGAATATAAACTATAGAGGTCAATTTTAATTTTTGCACTGGCCTTTCAAAAATTTTGGCCTGTACCACCTACTAGGACACATACCTTCAGTGCGAGCATTGGTCTTTTGAGTTTTTGTAAAGACGGACTTCTCAAACGCAAGCTTAGCACTGTTTGTAGGCCATTCATCACAGTAGTACTTCACAGCGACGCGCTTTCCTTCCGAATCCAGAAGAAGTATGTTCTTTATGACAGGGCAAGAGTCCTACAACAGAAAAATCACGATCGATCACCATTTCCGCTCGATGCACGTGCAGTCCGAACGGATGAAAAAATCGAAGATTCGATCCGAGTTTTCGCAGGATGATACCAAATCGCAAGAAAAAATTCAAACGGACTGGAAATATACGAAATGAAAAGCTACGATCTCTATAGATGAATGAGATTAAGAGGCTTACGTGATCGAGAGCGAAAGGAGCCATTCGATTCTTCTTCTCCGTTCTCGCTGATGAAACCGCCGGCCCGCAGATGCAGAGAAATTTAGCAGCTGAGTTGACGACGGGTACGGAGGGCTTAAATGGGCCGGTGGTATAATCCTCCGCATTCAAGGCATTAGAAGTTAACTCTGTAACCATAAGCCTCAATTAGGAGTTTAGGACTAACCTCATGGAGTGCATAGTGAAATTAAAAAAAAATCTATAAATAAAGTTGAAAACATGAAATTTATATCAAAATATTTTTATCTTTTAAATAGGAGATTTCATGATATATTTTGATATTATAAATTTTATTGAAGTATTTCCTCCATTCCAATTTATATTATCTGTTTTAATTTACGATGATTGATCGAAGCCATTTTTAATTTAATTTATTTAAACATTAGAGTGAAATTAAAGAATTAAAAATTATATTTTTAAAAACTATATAAAAAGTTTTTCGAAACAAGAAGTGACATGACTATTTAATATTTCAAACAAATAGTAAGAATAGTTAAAGATACTGAATCAAATTTGATCTTGTAAATAGTAAACAAATATTATAGTTTGGGACAAAGGAATTATAAAAATATTAAACATTATATTTTGGCATGTGAATCATACTTTATTATTAGTTGGATATTTCTCCCTAAAATTTTCCATAAAAACAAATATTATAGTTTGGGACAGCGAATGCGAGTGACGCGTTTAGTTTTAATTTTTGTTAAATTTACGCATTTTCCTTATTTTTTGACTTCAAATAGGAGTTCTCGCATGTGTGTAAATTTTTGCCTACTACTACTTTTTACTTAAACATCATAGACATGTGGGATACATCCACGTGAAAGAATATGGTGTTTAAGTAAGCGTTCCGCACCACTTAACCCACCACCCTTGCTACCAACCATGCCCCCCTACATAAACATGTGGTAGGGAGGCAAGAAAATTAAAAGGACCATGCTACACACCCCCCACCCTTGCTACCAACCTTGCCTCCACCCACTTCTCTACCACATATTTATCTCTACCTATTCTCCACCCATCCTCTAATTTTAATTTTCTTGTCTCCCTACCACATGTTTATGTAGGGGGGCATGAGTGGTAGCAAGGGTGGGGGGTTTTTAGCATTTTCCAAATTAAAATTAGAGGGTGGGTGGAGAATGGGTAGAGATAAATATGTGGTGGAAAAGTAGGTGGAGGCAAGGTTGGTAGCAAGGGTGGGGGGGGGTGTAGTACGGTCCATTTCTCCTATTTTGACTTCGATTAAATGAGTGACGCGTTTAGTTTTAATTTCTGTCTAGCTTACCCATTTTTCTTATTTTTGACTAGAAATAGGAGTTCTCCCACATGTGTAGATTTTTGCCTACTAGTTTTTACTTGACCACCATAGACATGTGGGACAGAACCATGTGAAAAACATATGGTGTTTAAGTAAGCGTTCCGCACCACTTATTTCTCTTACTTTGACTTCGATAAGACTAAGTGATGCATAGTTTTAATTTTTTTCTAATTTACCTATTTTCCTTATTTTTAATAGCTCAAAATAGCAATCCTCCCACATGTGTAATTTGTTTTCTGTTTTTACACATTTTAACCGCTATGACACTCACACTTCCAGTGTCATCGCCACCACCCCAGCCACACAGCCAATATCTCTGCCACACATCCACCACCAGACTCCCAACTCTGCAACCACCATATTACCATCATTCACATCACCACCACCACATCCACATGCCACAGCCATCTCTGACACGACACATCCATTGTTGCCGTCACACTGCCAATTCCGTTGTCACAATGACATCTCTTCCACTACAATGGCAACACTTCCACCTAGGATGTAAACAAATCAAATACTTTAAATTCGATTCGTGATTCGTATTTGAATATAATGATTCGCATTCGTATAATTTAAAAACAAATTGAAACTCAAATATTAGCTTTGATTCAAATGTTAAACAAATACAAATACAAATATAAGCGTATTCGATTCAGATGATATTCGAATATCCGAATTTATATACACACAGACCATGTATTCAAATTCAGAATTCAAGAAAACTAATATTGTATAAAGTGTATTTAAATTACTAAGATTTCGTCAAATTAACGTAACACAAAAAGCTAAAGCATATGATATTTAATATTTATATTTTACTCTGTATAAAATATAATTTATGTAAGACACAAATGTATTAATGGTTTTAGATATCGTATAAGAAACATTGTAAGTTAAATTATTCAAAATCGATGTTCGTCCATCATATAAATTACAGAGTACGATTATTCGAATATTCATTTAGGATTTGTTAACTATTTGAATATTAATCAAATACAAATACAAATCTTATTTTTAATTTGTTTCATAAACGCATTCGGATTCGTATTTGAAAAATTAAACAAATACAAACTCAAATATCCTCTTAGTATTCGCTTTGATTTTGTTCGTTTACAATCCTACTGCCACCACTGCCACAACCACCACTTTCACACTGCCTCCTCTTCCCAATATTTCCATCATCGTTGCCACTACCGCCACAACTACCGCACTATCTACTTCGCCACCACATTGCCACTTTCACATCATCTCCACCACACTACTACCACCCGCTTCGTGACACTACCACCTTCACCATCACTATCGGCACGACACTACAAATTTTGCAGACCCACTGTCACCACCGCCACCACACTGTCACCCTCTTTTGTGCACTACCACCACTGCACCATTGCCATATTTACCACCACCACAACACTACCATCATCATTGTGCCACACCCACAACTGTAGTGTGACAACCACAACTAACACCAAACTATACACATTAATTTAAAAATAACACCAAATCACAACTAGCATAATGGGATAGGAGTAAATGTGGCTATGAGGTGTATTATTGGAAGGCTAAGAGGTCTATTAGTGGCTGGCTAACGCATTACAAGAATTATCTGAAATTGCTACGAAATAACTGCTACGGAAAAATTCCGTCTCACTTTGCAAAAGAATTTGCGACGAAGTTTAAGTTTTTAAATATTTCATTTTTCTGCGACGGATTTTTTGGTTCCATCGCAAATCCGCAACGGTTTGCCAATTTGATTGTCAAACTAAAAAAATTTAATATGCGACGAGGTCTGTGACAGATTTAATTCTGTCGCAATATTTTTACAAAAAACCTTATCCTATCCTCAATTGTTCGTTTCATGCCATTTTGCTACTAGTTTCTGTTCTTTCCCCTACAGTGACGCGACGACGAAGAAGTGACAATGAACACAGCGCGCCGGCGATGGCCCCTCCGACGTCTGTCCTTCCTCTTCCGGCCGCCATCGTCCTCTCTTCACCATCGTCCTCTCTTCACCATCCGTTCGTCCTAACTTTTTTTTTGCCTTAATTGAAGTGTATAATTAATCTTGATCTTTTTTTCTTGTGATTCCATGATGATGAAGCATTAATTTACTGTAAATTATAAGAAAATTGTGTTTAAAGTTCTTTGATTTTTGTTAATTGTGCTAGTTAAAGTGGATTAGATTGATTCTTGTAAAGTGTTTGAAGTATGTTTTTTGTTTGATATGCCATTTTTTAATTATGCTAATTATCGTAGATGTTATCATAAATCAAGTATTATAGTGTATATAATTGGAAGGTCCATACGAAATTTTGATAAAATATTTTTAAAGCTTTTTGTTATATAAAACTTCTTAACTTTTTTTTATTGTGTTGGTATTTTTTGGTATTCTTGAAGTTGTGAATTAATTTTGAATTGTTGATATGTTATTTGTATTGTTCAATTTGTGATTTTTTATATTAAGTAGTGTTGAATTTTTGCTACAATGACTGGATTTGATGATCATGAATGGATGTATAATAAATTTGAATCCGAAGGTGTAGTTAGTAAAGAATGGGTTGGCAATGTCATGAAGTTTATAGACATTTGTTTTTTTAATCCCAATGTTGATTGGTCTAAGAACAACATGGGTTGTGCATGTAAGTCATGTAAGAATTTAAAGTTTCGAAGTAACGCAACCATAATAAAGCATATCCTGCGATTTGGTTTCACTCCAAATTATTATGATTGGCTTTGTCACGGTGAAAAGCACGGTGATTATGCTCCCCCGAAACGACGACGAATTGAACGACATGGGGATACCACTTATGTGACAACAGCCGCAGGAAGAGACCAATATATTGATATGGTGTACGATGCTGCACGCCTTTATATCAAAAACTTAAATGTTGAGGAAGAACTTAATCCGGAAGATAAAAAGTTCTTTGAGATGTTAAAAGCTGCTGATAAGGATTTGTGGTCGGGGTGCTCTAAGATGTCACAGTTGCTAGCAACTACACGCCTACTAAACATTAAATCTGAACATAATCTCTCAAAGAGATTCTACGATATAATTTTTCAGTTATTTAAAGATGGATCTTCTAGAGGAAAACACAATGGTTAAAAGCTTTTACCAAACAAATAAGCTTCTAGACGGGTTGGGCCTTCCCGTTTAGAAGATATATTGTTGCATTCTTGGCTACATGTTATTTTGGGGAGATGATTAAAGTCTCACTGAGTGCAAGGTTTGTAAGAAGCCTCAATATAAAGATGCGAAGGCTAAAGTCCCGCACAGACAGATGTTGTACTTTACTTTAACACTGCGATTGAAACATTTATATACATCAGAGCGCACCGTCGGGTTAATGTATTGACATGCTTAACTTCAGCACTCGAACACATGTGAGATGTGTCACCCTTGTGATTCTGAAGCATGAAAAGCATTTGATTAAAAACATCCTTCTTTTGCTTCAGAAGTTCGCAATGTTCGTTTGGGTTTGTGCATTGATGGGTTTCAGCCATTTGGGCAATCTGGATCTCAATACTCATGTTGGCCAGTTATGATCACCCCATACAATTTTCCTCCAAATATATGCATGAAAGTGGAACATATATTCCTCTCGTCAATTATTCCGGGTAGGTCTAATCCGAAGCAAAATATTGATGTATACTTGCAGTCGCTGATTGCAGAATTAAAAGCGATCTAGTCTCAAGGTGTGGATACATTTGATGTGTCCGAAAAACAGAATTTTAGAATGCGCGCTGCTTTGATGTGGACAATTGGTGATCTTTATATGTATGCAATGATGTTTGGTTGGAGCACATCAGGAAAAAACATGTCCTATATGTATGGATCAGCTAGAGTCTTTTAGATTGCCTAATGGTGGCAAACAATCCTTGTTTGACTCACATCGATGATTTCTTCTGAGTGATCACCCATTTCGCAAAGATTAGAAAAACTTCATCAAGAAGCGAGTTGAGATAGAATCAACACCTATCTATAAGAGTGGGGATGAGATACTGCATGAGATTGATCTCTTAGGGCTCCGAAGCATTTTTTATGACAATGCAGATAGTGTTAATGCTAACATCGTTTAGTCAACTTCATGCGGCTGGAGGAAGCGAAGCATCTTTTTGGATTTGCCGCATTGAAGTAGTAACATGATCCACCACAATCTTGACGTAATGCACATTGGAAAAAATGTTTTTAAGAACTTTTTCAACACTATAATGGACATGCAAGGTAAGACAAAGGACAATGTAAAGGCGAGAGAAGATATGAAATTTTTTTTGCGCAAGAAAAGACTTGGAACGTGATCCTAGCTAGTATAAGAAAATACCCAAAAGCATGTTACAGACTGGATAAGATACAGCGTAAGGCATTTCTAGTTTAGGTGAAAGAGTTGAAATTTCCTGATGGTTACGTTTCAAAATTGGGTAGATGTGTCGACCCAACAAAGCTTAGGATGTTCGGAATGAAAAGTCGTGATTGCCACGTATTCATGTGAAGACGAATACCTATTGGATTCAAAGAACTTTTACCAAAGGTGGTTTGGGAAGTGATTGGAGAACTAACTAACTTCTCTATAACTTTGACGAGCAAAACTGATTATGTTTATGATCTTAAACGGATTGAACAAGACATTCCTTCATAATTTGCAAGTTGGAGAAAATATTTCCGTCGGGATTCTCCAATTGTATGGAACATCTCCCCATTCACTTGCCATATGAGGCGAGAATAGGAGGTGCTGTACAATATCGATGGATGTATCCATTCGAGATACTCATCTTTCCTAGGCGGATTTATTAAAGATTTGTACTCACATTAATATGAACTTTGTAAATTATTTAGGTACTTGAATCGTCTAAAGAGAATGGTGAAAAATAAGGTGCGCATAAAAGGTTCAATTGCCAACGCGTATTTAGTTCGGGAAGCTTCACTCATTTGTTCTCATTATTTTGAAGAACATGTGTACACACATTCTGTACCACGCAATGATGATGAATATGTAAGTGAAGAATGTATTACACACAACCTTCCCATTTTTCAAATTAGGGGTTGGCTACAGGGAAAGATGCACAAAATTCATCTAAGTTCGAAAGAGGTTAAGGCCGCACATCTATACATCCTACTTAATTGTCCTGAGATTGATCCTTATTTTGAGTAAGATTACTACTCTTCAATATTATAATTTATTATAAACGTTACATAAAGAATATATTTTCATTCTTTTGGAGGTTTTCATGTAACACGATATATATAGAAGAGATTACAAAGGCGAACCCAAGCATTTCACAAGATTCTATATCAAGCCGGGTGACAAAGAATTTCACAAAATGGTTTGAACAACTGTAAGTATGTTTAAGATCATAATTTTAGTATTTTCACAATTTAAAGAGTGAACATAACTAAATGTTAATGCCTACACTTCATTCTCATCAGGCTGAGAAACACAAAGTTGCAATAGGGGATTTATTACTGGATGTGGCAAGAGGTCCCTTACCGGTTGCAAAATCATACCCAATATACTGGATGTGGCAAGAGGTACGAACCATACATTTTAGCATCTCAAGCAACACAAGTGGTGTATGTCGACTATCCATGCATAAAACAAAATAGAAGTGAGTAGATGGCATTTTGCAAAGTTCAGCCAAGAGGGTGGGTAGACACTGCGAGTCCTAAGGAAATCCAAGATGCAATGTTACAGGATCCATTCCAAGAAAATGTGACAGACTCAACAAGCATCATGGATGTTTCGCAAAACAATGAGGTTGTAACTTTAATAGGGGAAGGGAATGCAGACTTCGAAGAAGATGATGATTTGAACTCTGAAAATATGAAAGAAGAAGAGCCAATATTAAATTCTGAAGATTCAATGGAATTAATAGAAACAATAGATAATGAGTCTGTAGATAGTGAAAACAATTCAGGATAAATTATATTCTTTTTATTCTTTACATATATTTATTTTCAATTATTAATATTATTGTTTCTAATGAAATTAAAATATCTTATTTTAACGCGTGCTAGCATGTGCAGATGACTGATAAAGGCAAGGGTAAGAAGCAAAAGAGCTCGAAGATGCCCTCTTTTGTTAGTTCGGCGAGGGATAGCTTGAGGCTTCTACAACAGAATTTCATGAGTCGATCTAGAGACGATGCCGAAGCGAATTGTAGCAACCACTTAGGCAATACGCCCACCCCTGAGATGGATGCACCAGTATCACCTCTGACCACGTCACACATACCTTTGCATTCTGGTGCTAGCACCGCTGGTAGAGTTATTTATCTTCCCAATTATTCATGTTGAATAATTCAGATATGATGAGTAATGTTTATACTAATAATTGCAGGATCACATACATTGGTACCTGTGTCAAATTTGCAATCTTCCGACAGCGAGAGTGGGCATAGAGAGAATTAGGTGAATGATCGAGAAGAGGAGGACGATGAGGAGGATGAGCAGTCGGACCCACTCGTGAGGGATCAACATGTATACGTTGATCCTAAGGGCACATAAGTTATGATGAAAATTAAAAAAGCTCAACATCATTATCACATATATAAATTTTTTCTATTTTTTTATGAAATAGTATAAGCGTTAAGATCACTACTACTGTGTGTCACCTAATCACACCCTCATTTTATCTGAGGGGGGATCCTGAAGGGACAAAGTGGAAAAATGTTGGGCCAGAGACGCAACATTTTTACAGGCGATGAGATTGTACAGTCGCTTTACCTACAATCAACGTAAAGCGAAAGTGGTTCACAAGAACCCCCAGCTGGGCTAATTAGTCGTTGGGACAAGGTGATTTAGTTTTGAATGTATTACAACTTTCTATATGTATATGTTCTATTATCAATCTTCATCTTATTATAGCATTGAGTATCTAAAATAGGCGGGTTATATGTATTTATATGCATAATTTCTTCTAACAATCCTCATCTTATACATACGCATAGTTTTGGAATTCCAAAGAATTTAAGCAGGAATCTGAAGTGAAGAAAACAATAGAAGAAAGGGGGAAAATGAAGGCCTAGCTATTGGGGCCTATAATGGAGGGTCGATTCCTTTTTCTGAACACCTTGCCCGATTGGTAAGTAATGAATAAATGAATACATATTAATAGTTTTTTAACTTTTATATACTCCCTCCGTCCGGAAATGTTCTTCTCATTTGACTTTTCACGGTCTCCAATATTATACTTTGACCATTAATATCTATATTTATACATAGATATATTTTATAAAAATGTGATATTTGGAAACTACGTTTCATTATGAATATATTGATATTAAATTTACATCATATTGCAATGTGTTTTTCCACAAATCGTAGTCAAAGTTTATAAATTTGAACCAACAAAAGTAAAATGTGAAAAACATTTCCGAACGAAGGGAGAGTGTGTGTGTGTGTCTATATATATATATATATATATGTATGTATGTATGTATGTATGTATGTATGTATGTATGTATGTATGTATGTATGTATGTATGTATGTATGTATGTATGTATGTATGTATGTATGTATGTATCTATGTATATACATGTTAATTACAAATACGTAAGTACTGATTGGTAAACAATGCACAAATGAAAATATATATTTTTGATGAATTTACAATGTTTATATTGTAGGCCGAAAAGTTTGAAGCTCCAATAACAGTGGTGGATGATTTCAAGCACACCAAGACGAAGAAACATGATTGTAAGACATGGATAGATTTTGAAAATGCACAACTTGAGGTAAATGTGAATTATTCACACTTCTTATTAATTAAAGTTAAATTTACAATGCGACAATGTGATGATTACCTATAATCCACTTCTGATTTTGTACGATTGAAACAAATGGCTGAGGAGTCAGACCTTAAAGTCACAAATCAGGAGATTTGGTTTGAACATGTTGGTCGCTTTGAGCAAAAGAATAGGATTAAGGGAGTCAGAGATTTTGTTGAACAAATGAAACCCCTTAAACTTAGATATCAAAACAGAAGAAAGAGTACCAATGATATTTTAGAGACTGAGCGGCTGAGAGCGGAGAATGAACTCATGAAGGCAAGGTTGGATAAAATTGACTTCACAGTTACTGAACAAATTCGAAGAATGTGTGGTGGAAATTTTCTTACACCTTGAGACCCTGACGATGGGATGGTAGGCTCAGGACCTGGTTGTGTGGCATGAATTAGCTATGACAATTATGTGTTTTAATTAATGAATTATGCATTGTGATTGATAATGAATTGGATAAAGTTGTGTTTTAATGAATTGTGTGTTGTGATTGACAATGAATTGAGTAAAGAATTGTGTTTTAATGAATTCGAAGAATTTTGTGTTGTTTCAATGTTGTTGTTTCTATGTTGTGTTGTTTAACTGTTGTTGTATTGGTGGTAAAAATGAATTGCACAAGAAAAATGTTCTGCAAACTGGTGCATTTGCGACGGATTTATTCCATCGCAGAGTTTGTCGCAAGGTACAAAATAGGAGAGGACTTATGTTTATCGCAAAGTCGTCGCAATCGGCGACCAAATGCTCTTTCCATCGCAGATCTGCGACGGATGTATGTTTCCGTCGCAAATTTTGTAAATGCAACAACTTTTTTGCGATGGATTTATTTTTTCGCAAGCCTGTCGCAATTTCTAATTATGTGACCAAAATAGAGGTTTTGCGATAGAAATGGTCTGTCATAGATTTAAGCAAAATTTTGTAGTGATGGGTCAAATATGCTTTTATTAAGAAGATTTAACAAATCTTTCCTTTTGCCTTTCCAGAGGCCCGTGCACAACAATGTTTCCATCAGCTTATTCGGTAAGCTTCTCAGGCTTCCTTTGTACAATTTTTATCTCAAATCTGCCAGGTTAAACTATACGACAGAGGTAGCTACTCGCCTTTTTCTATGGTTTTGTCAAACAAATATACTCTTCAACCTCTAATGTCAACCACTGCTCATCGCTCGCCAGAGACTAGAAAGCTTCTTTGGTATTTCTCTATTTATTACTTCGTACAAAAATAACAAAATAATAATAGATTAATTTTTAGATGGTTGTTGTCCGTCTTTGATCATCTCTCTGCAAATTGTTCTCCAGAAATCATGGTCGGGACAAGGTTTTCGAACGTAGCCACGACTGTAATAATTGGATTTTGCTGGGACGAAGACAGTGGCAGCTTGGTAGGTTGGGTATTTACACCATTTCAATTTCAGTTTAATTTTTCATCCAAAATTATATCTGTAACTATAGATTTGGATCTTGGATGCGGTTCTCAAGAGAGGTGGACCGAGTTGGAGAACACAGATTCAAAAGCTCTAATTTGATATTTATGGGGATGAGATGGTGTGTTATTTGATTTATCCATTTTTCCTTCAAATTTCATTAGGTGCGAAGTATATTTATAGGGTGGGATGGTTTTGAACTGTAGCTTCTGCATTTGTAATCTCATAGTGTGCAGTCACTGTGCTGCAGCCAATTAAATGGATTCCAATTGGCATTTCAGATGATGGCCACCACGCACATCCAAGATAAACAAAACCTTCCAAAGGGGTCAAAAAGATTGTATGCCAGAAAAAAGGTTGCATTGCAGAGAGAAACCAGATATCAATTTCTAACCCATTGATTTCAATGTTAAACATATATCTATTAGAATTAACGCAAAACACTAATCTATGTGTTTATTGTCTTCTAAGATTTTAAATATAATGATAAAGATATATTTTTTTGATGAAAAGGAGAACCTATTTTTGTTGCTAATGTTTTGCAGGAAGAACTGAGATTGCAAAACCAGGATATTGGCTGCTACATTCCTACATAGTTGTTGTATGAACAAAGTGGAAAAAAAGTCAAAGAGCTAAATACTATATTTTAAAGGTAAACTTTAAATTACACCTTTTACGTGTGTTAATTTCTTATGAAGAGTTATATTTTAAAAGGGGTTTGGAGCTTTATTTCTTAAGGATTTTGTTTCAACTACATTTTTCCATTTCCTGTATGTAAGTAAATCTAAAAAAATTGTGTAGATGCCTTCGACTACAACTATGAAAGTGCAATTTTTCAAAAGGAGAGTATGAAACTTATTGTTCTGTATGCATAATTTGACCCTTTTCATTCCTATGCTAGAAATTGTGTAGATGCCTGTTGGGAAAAATATCATAGATTTTGATGATGATGTATTTAGAATGTAATAGGGACTTTAGGTCTCCCCCAATATTCAATGTAATTTTTCTTTTTAGAAATATTGTTAAAACCAAGTTCTTGAGTTTTCCAATAAGGTTGTGATATTTCTTTAAGCGTTTTGATGCCTGAAGACTTAATCAAATTCAGTGATATGGAAATTGGATATCTTAATCGGAAAAGCTAGAGACAAGTAAGGATTTCTCAAGCAGATGAAAATCCTCTGTTCCGGAAGACTACATAAGAACCGGATGTCTCGCTACAACCCGCTGAAGGCTAAGTCACCCAAATCGGAAGACTAGCGCGGATCTCTCTCTCACCCGGAAGTCTGAGAATGACTTCTCCGGATTTGTCAGCTAAGAATCGGATGCCTCAAGGAAGACCGGAATTCTCAAAAAACGGACAAGTGAGAAAAGACTTAGAAAATTATCTAAGTCTTGAATGAAGAAATTCTACCCGTTGGTAAGGAAAAATCAATCTCTTGATTTTCAACGGCTAGATTGAAGATAAGTATGCTGATTCAAGAACAAACAAAGCCAGCACGAGTGCAGTAGCAACATTGGTCTTGTGAAGATATA